TGCAGTAGTAGCATTAGAGGGCAGGCTACACAAGCCTTGCAACACCTCGTAAGGCTGGAACGTGAGAACATCAGGAATGGCTTTGTTGCAGGTGACTCTTGAAGATGGTTTCAGTTCTACTGTTGTATGTAGAATATTTCCCCTCGAATTGCAAAACTATACGTAGAACTAGTGACTTATATAGTTGCCTGGGGGACACATAAACTAAATCCATGTCGGTGTCAATATTTTTCGTTGGCTTTTGACTGTATAATACCACATCTCGCGTGGATGTGCGGTCGCGAATTAGGTATTAAAAAATCTCCACTAGTCCATGACTCCATATCCCATGGTTGCGATGCAGTTAATACATAACACCCTGGGACCTGGGTATTCCACTAAAAATGTGTGAGCTCACCGCACTTCTCATTGAGTCATTGTTGCTGGCCTCGAGTTCTCGCCGCCTGAGCCCTGGATATTGATTAGTGAATAACTGAATACCCCCAAGTACTCGGGCCTCGTTATTGCTGATTGAGTGATTGTATCAGTAGTAACTTAGTAAATACACATCTATCTTTAGGCTCCTCGGCGCCTCGACGCCTTATACTTTTTTTTTAAATAAAAGGGACTGTGGAGGGCTCGGCGTCATTACCTTGTGGGACCAAATTAATACGGTACAGTATTTACCTCTCCTTTCTTCTGGTCCCTGTCTTATTTGGCAATATTTAAAAATATTAAAAGGAGTACTTCTTTCGGAAAGATGGTGCATTGGTGGCGTTATTTCTATATTTCTGTCACATTCGTGACATTCCACAATATTTTGTTAAAAAAAACAACATTTATTTATTGCGCCTAATTGCCAATTGGGCTAATGGTGATCATCAGACCATGTGTATCTTTTTTCTTTTCTATTTTTCTAAAATATTTATTATCTTTTTGTCTGTGTATGATAAGTTGACAACTGGCAACCGGTAAATACTGTGCTATTTATTTACACAAGTAAGTTGGCAGTTGGCACGAAGTCCCAACTCCCAGGGGCCCAGAAACCCGATAGGACCCCAAGGACCCAGGCCCTTCGAACTCAAATACAACTGATGCCCACTCACATACTTCATAATATATTTTATTTATAAAAACCAGGTATTTACGTTAGCCAAGAGACCTAAATTAATTTCCAATTTTTCACCACATATTCCATATTTTCGTTTTGCGGCCCTCAGTGCCCCAATGTTTGTCTAATATTATGTACCGAACATTGCGATTACATTTATTTTTAAAAATTAAACACTTCTTTTAGAGTGTTTTCTGCACTGAAGTTCCAGGACTTCAGGAGTAAGGACACCATATATCCACACCAAAAAACGTATTTCGTGTGTAATTAAATAAAAGTCGCATGTTTCATATTTTATTTTTGAAAGCTTTTGGCCATAATACATATATAGGATTTCCAAAAATCGTATTATAAAATAAATATGATAAAAAATAATACGGCTATTTTTCGCCATAATATTTCATATCCATAAATATGAGTACCTCTAGTCCTCTCTCTATCAGTAGTAGAGCGAGAGGCCGTCCACGGACAAATAAATAATGGGCGATGGCGCAGTGCACTCCAAAACGCCACCAACTCGATTTTCTATTTCTTAATATTGGTACAAGAAGCGTTAAATATACTTTTCAAATCATGTTTTTTGTTTTGTGTTCTGTTTTTGTTTTAAAAAAACAAAAAAACATGTTGAATTCTATGTTTTGCACAAAATAAATACATAAATGAAATTGAAAAATAGTGAACCTGTTATGACTACAACTAGGATAAGATACCGCATCCTGGCAAGTACAATAGATATCATGCTCATTTGGTCGAAGGGATACAACGCGTAGATTGTTGATTGACAATAATAAGCAACACCGTGTGATTAATAGTATGTACAAATGGACCACATATTAGACACCCTCTCGAATCTCACAGACTTTAGAAGATGCAAATAGTACATTGACATGAAAAGATTATCAGTTTCAGGATTTGTATATTGTATGTATAAAAGGTTTTTCACTATAATTTTTAAGCCAGCATGGACTTAGCAGTGATTACTGCGTTGTCGAGGATATCCGCTATTAGGTTCACTGTGTGGTCAAAGAAATCCTCATTCACGCCTACTGCGGCATCTAGAACATTCTCTACAGTGTTGTCAAGGACATTCGCAATTCTGCTCACTTCGGTATCAAGGACAGCCACGATTTGTTCTCTAACGTATTGCTGATAGTAAAATATCGCAAGTTTATAACATTTACACAATATAACCATGCTTGGGCACTGTAGTTTGACCTCGAAAGAGTATTGAAGGAATTGTATTGTCAGCAGCGCTTGCTGCATTATCGATAAATTCCTGGGTGCATAAATTCTGGGCAACAATTTGTGCATGACGTGTGAGTACGGGCTTGAAAACAACAGCGACTATCTGAACAACCCTGTCGGCAGCAGATGGTAGCGAGTTTTTGACGAGAATTACATGCATGTAAATATGGCAAGCTCGGCATCGTTAGGGGTAGTTAGATAGGTGGGAATGTCGGCATTGGCAACATCTGACATTGGCGGCCATATCAGTTGCGCCAAACATACTCGACTTAGAGCTGTGTGTATTCCAAAAGCTGTTTTACTTCATCATCTTGAATTTACTATCTGCTGAATCTACGACATTGTTAATAACACTCATTTTTCTCTTTTAGCGGCTTCATAACAATCGACAAGGGAATCAAACAATTAAAAAAAACAAATATTATATCAACAATTGGGCCAGCGGTAAGGAAAGAGGCTTATGCCTGGATAACTAAAAAACAGACAGGTGCGCCATTTTTGGCTGCGTCGAGTTCACATTGTAGGGTGGTAGCTATGTTACGAGCTTGTGTACCTTTCCTCGCATAAAGACGTGTTGGGCCGAAGCAGCATTGATCTCACCAAGTGCGGTTTCCTCTATGTAGATGACGAGTGCTGTGACATCAGCGTACCATTCACTGACAGTCGAATGCGTCTTGAAAGTGACAAGGATACGGCATCAGGATCGACAGCGAGACGGTGATGGTCGACAGATGTTGCACAAGCGACAACGGTGATGGAGGCGATAGTAGCAATGTCCGACTTGTTGTGATGATACGCAGGGTCTGCTTTAAGCTTTTTTTGTATATTGGATTATGTATACAATATACATAAATACCCTGAATGTCACAACTGACGGACTCAAGTCTGATCGAACATGCAGCAGCCTCCACAATGACAAAAGTACACGACCACGTGAGTCGTGACAGCTCCCTAGTATTTTTTTTAACAAAATAGTTCCCAGATCTTATCTACTGAATCTAAAGTATATATAAAATATTTTTTGTCTTTTTGTCATGTTGAAGGCTATATTTATTGCACAATGCACATTGCATTGTTGCACACATACATAAATACTAATACTTTTGTTCTAAAAAAAACCAAACAAAATATTATTTTACGTACATATTTGCTTTTTTTTTTAAATACGACACTCGACAATTGTTTTTAAAAACCAACCCAAACCAAACAAAGTTAAAAAAAGATATACATATATATATTTAGGGGTTTCTTTTACAACAAAACATTTCTATAATGTAGATGGCAGTATTTACTATGTATTTATCAGTATTTAGCGTAAATGTATTCATTACACTCTATCTAAATATTTAAAAAATACGCAAGTGTTTTACAGAAAAACACTGTATTATAAGAATATATATATATAAAATATGTTCGTATATACGTAGCTTAGTTTTTAAAGACACTTTACACGAGATCAGCTGTGGGCCCGACAGTGATATTTGATACCATCATGTCACAATAGTCTTCAAATTATTTATCTTTTTAAAAGTAGTGCTATTTTTAAATACTATAAGTCTAAACTGGCCTCTGGTAAATAAACGATGATGACATACGCCTCCAAGAAAACCCGTCGTGGTGTCAAAACATCTGTAGTTCATGATGGTCTGGCTACTGACGATGTTATGGATCACATGATTATGGATAACGTTGTTGCTGAATCCAAAACGCGCCTGATCGTCAACGGCAGTGGGAATGAGTCAGAAATGCTGAGAATTTGTTCTATCTGAGATCAACACGGCCTGGGCTAAGCATGCGTTTATGTTGGTAAAATAAGTATGGCCGATATGAACACTATTGTCTAGTCAGGTTGAAAAGCAGGCCGTAGCCAGATACTGATGTACTCGTCTGCATATCCAAGGCCAATGATGTCTAGGCTATCACTCGCAAAGCTGTCAAGGCCAAGGCTATTTTCCCCGTTGCCACTTTCATTCTAGATGGTTGTATCTCACGTATACGAGTTTTGTGAAACGTATACAGACCAAATGGTAGTATAACTTGTATAGAGTAGTTAGTGCGACCACAACCCGTGAATTTACGATTTACAAAGTATGGAGAGGTATGGAGAGGTATTGAGAGGTATTGAAAGGTATATACTTGATACCGTATTGGACCCACAATGTAATGACGCCGAGCCTCCCACAGACCTTTTTTTTTACAAGTCCGAGGTGCCGAGGATAGAGATATGTACTAATTTACTACTCCTACAATCGCTCAATCAGCAGTGCCAAGGCCCGAGTACCTACCCATTTTTTGCCGGTATTCATTAGTCAATATTCAGGCGGCGAGAACGCGAGGTACAGGCAGCAACAATAAGAAGTGCGGCGTGCCCACGGCGTTCTCACACATTTTTAGTGGTATGCCCAGGTCCCAGGGTGTTATGTATAAATTGCATCGCAACCATGGACTAGTGAAGATTTTTTTAAATACATAATCCGAGACTGCAAAACAACACGGAATGTGATACAGTCAAAAGTCATACAAATATTGTCACCGGTATGGATTTCGTGTATATCCCCCCCAGGCAACTATATAAGTCACTAGTTCTACGTATAGTTTTGTAATTCGAAGGGAATTATTCTACTTACAATAGTAGAACTGAACCCATCTTGAACCATTCCTGATGTTCTCATGTTCCAGCCTTACGGGGTGTTACAAGGCTTGTGTAGCCTGTCCTCCAATGCTCCTACTGCAGTTATCTTGCTCACGAATATATCTATAGCTCAGACAACGATACCTGGTATATGATCATATCCATTTTATTTTACACCGACTGCTTTGTTTGTGTTTAAATGGCAAACTTACTTAGTGTTCCTTTACGCACATATACTTTCACCTCTGTCGTTTTTTGACCGAACCAGATTCAATCTTACAGTTGTTTCGCCCATTGTGTCGTGCTAACTTTGAAGTGTTTATTTATCGTACAGTTTGTTCCGGACACGGGGAACTCTCAGCGCAGGACATCTGTGTATGTGAAATTGGCTATTCTATTACATCTGACGGTTTAGGATGCACGGCAGAAGGGGACGACGATGCAGATCATGATCATAATCATGATCACGAGGAAGAGTGTAGTGGGTATGGGCATATGCACGACGGCGAATGCCACTGCTCAGCGGGATATTCATCTGTCAATAGCAATGGAACTGCATGTGAATTAATCTTAGAGCCAGAATATTTCATGGATATGTTGATAGAAAAGTACTTCAACACTACAACCAATCGCATATACGCTGATGGTATCGATAAACTCATAGATAGTTTGGGTACCGCGACAACCGTGGCGGCCGACGACAAGTCATGTAGTGGCAACGGTCACTGGGACAATACCGAGTGTCACTGCGATTCTGGTTATACGCTGAGTGAAGACGGAAGGCAATGCACTGCTTCTAGTAGAAGGAGACAAACCACTGAAGAAGTTGTAACTCCATGTTTGAATGGCCAGTCCCTATTTAAGTTATACCAAATCGATATGGATGAAGGCGCCACTGAGCTTCAATTTTCTGCCAACTTCAGTCCCGCAATCGTACAAATGATCGAAAGCGGTGCGTGCACCGTTTCCACAGTGGCCACCGACGATACAGATTCTACAGATGCACCTTCCAAAGGCCAGGCATATCTTTACGCCATGGTCTCTGTGTTCATCATCAGTCTTACCTCTTTAGGTGGTGTAATGGTCATTCCCGCAGTTTTAAAAGCTCCCAAAACCGCGAAATGGGTACTGATGGCTCTAGTAGCTTTGGCAGTCGGTGTGTTGCTTGGTGATGCTGTTCTGCACTTACTTCCTATCGCCCTGGGTGTGCATGTGCATTCAGATGATGGTGGTCTGGTAGTCCTTTCCGGAAATGAGGTTGTCTACCGTACGATAACAGTGTGCGCGGGGTTGTTCTTCTTTGTTGTACTTGAGGGGATCCTGGATGGAGCCGGATTAGGACAACACGGACACAGTCATGAAGGTATTTCTCCCGAGGACATGGTAGACTTGGGTATGAAGATGCAAGAAGAAGAATTAATCACAGATGCTGGACTGGAGTCTGGGCATACGCACGAAACCACACACGAGCCTGCCACCAGTGGGAACGACTCCGACAGCAGTGATTTGAGCGATCGCGTCAAGGTCACAAATACGATAGACGGTGATCGTATACAGATAGAGAAAGATGTCAAGCCGATAGGCGGCGCTGACGGTTATGACAGTGTTAAAATTAACAAAGATACTGATGAGAAGGTTGATATTCTAAATATATATTATATTACAAGATAATATATATAATTATAAAATCGTATACACATGTACATAAATTCATATATATACATATACACACACATACACACACACATGTATTTATGTATGTACATATGTATGTATATATGTATGTACGTATGTATGTATGTATGTATGTATGTAGGATAGGTGACTTAGTAACAAGTACTACTTGTATATAATCTGTACTTTGTAAACCTGTACATAGTAAAACATCAAAAAAATAACACGGCCCTCTGGATGATGATATTTTTCCCTACACCTTATTACTATTTGCGAAAATTGCTGTTCGACCAAGACATTTCCAGAGGGCCGTGACGCCCGTGAGGCGTGAAAATAAAATATAAATACACAATTTACACACAGCTATCAGTTCATCAATAAATACAACCTCGTTTGATACTTTGATTGAACCTCTGTTTCTGTTTTTTTGTGCCTCGCGGCTCGCTCCCATAGCCTTCTTGTCTGATTTATAGAAGGCTATGTCGTACCTCCCCCCTGGGTTTTTTATTTTGTCGATTCACCCCCTTCAATTATTTGCGACCTATCTTCTGACCTACGTACCTATTTAGGGTCCTACTCTAGTAGGGCGTAGGCTATTAGTATTTGTAGGCAAACTCTTGTGGAGGAATAGTCGCTGGCTGAAAATTGGATGGTCACGACTTGATCAGTATGATATTAGGAGAGGGCATGCACGATTCATGAGAAAAACCCAGAATCCAGAGGGCGCTCAAACCAAATTCCGTTAAAACTTTTATAAATCGAATAAATATACGTTTACGTTAAACTTTTATTCCAAATGCGGTCGTCTGTGTACTCATAGGTGCACCTTGCGGGTCTAAACGTTTAAGCGTGCATCATGGGCTACTTTATATTTTATCGTCTTTTGTGGTTTTTTTTTCTATAAGGAGGCTTTAAAGCGCACACAACAATTAAATTGTTGAACACAACTAAAAACGATATAATTTTATACGTTTTTCAAAAAGCGGAATAAAGCTCTTAATGATTGTAGTCAGTCGAAATAATAAAACGCTATGCAGTAGCCTATTATAGCGTAAACATTTAACTTCATTACGTCCTACGGACGTTAGTCCGTTCAGCCATATTTTCTTTCTTCTCTCTCGATTTTTTTTAAAAGCATTTTAACGAGAATCGACCCAAAGTAAAAATACATGGGCCCGAAAAAAAATGAATAGGATGACTTGTGACTAATACATCACGATGACTCATCGGAATGTTGATTACTCATGGCTTCATTAGTACATTTCATCGGATATTTTTTTAACTATACGTATGCAGGCGTGCATGTATGTACGTGTATCCGGATGGGTGGATGGGCGGATGCAAGCTTCCCAAAAGACGTACAGTCAAGCTGATGATAAGTTAATGATTACAGGCCTACATATATGGGCCAGAGGCGTAGTACTGAGCAAAACATTATCATTGTTATCGTTCTATGAACACGTCGACAGCAGTTGAAAGAACGATCACTAGTCAACCTGCTAACCAATTCATTTTGTGGCAGTAAAGTTGGAGGAATTCGCCGGTCTTGTTCGATGTTATTATCCTTTCAGTCATAGAATTAATATAAGACGTTATCCCGCCGGTGCTATTAGCCGGTAGATAGAAACGTAAACTAAGTGAGATGTCGATGTTCTCATGGTATTGGCCGACTTCGGAGAACGATGTGAAGCTCTCGGAACAGAAGATGTTTAAAGATTTGACCCACGATTATAAAATACACCAGGTGCCTATATTCGAAGGGAAGGAACACATCAATACAATTACCGTTCTACCTACTGTAAAAGTACACGGAAGCTCTGAAGATGGTATGTGGTTGCCGTAGTCTCGAACTGCTGTATTCGTTTAGTGTGTTATACGTGGGTATTTCATTTGTACAATCGGTGTTCGACACGTTGTACCTAGATTTCACAGATCGGATCGTTGCGTGTGTGTAGGAACCAGGAACCGATTATCGCTGTTGTTCTTATTGTAAGCCTAATTTATGATACATTCTATCAAATGGGTGATAACTGTACCGGAATAAGGGTCAAGTATGCAGGCAGACCAATATGTACAAGTTTAACAAACATTAAACGAAGATTTACGGGGGGGGGGGGTAATTGTACACACAATTCCTCATTTGGGAAATATGGAGCGCGTTTGTTAAGAATGACCCATTTTGTATGTGGATCACTTTTCATGGCGTGTGACCATTCCATATTTTGAACGTTGCGTGTATTTAGTGTATAGTCGTTTCTATACAAATATATAGTGTGTATATTTAATTAATATTTTATAGAGTATATATAGTTTTTATATAGTGTAAATTTATAGTGCATATATATATATATATATATATATATATATATATATATATATATATATATATATATATATATATATATATATAGTAT